CCAGCCCCGTCCTCCCGCTGTGCGCCTCCCTGGTTCAGGGGCTGGAGGAGTCTCCTGCTCTGTAATGTGACTTTCTATATGAGTGTAGTTCAGCGTTCTAATCCAGCGGCGTCTGGTTTGTGATAAAATTTCGCTGTTAATGAAGTTGTTCACAAGGAACTTGGGGAAAGAAACCCTGAGAGCCTCTTGCTCTCTGTGATTTTGTATAACATCTCTATACATCCCTCTCTCCTTCCATTACCTCTTTTCTCCTTTTGCATATCTAAATTCTGCCCCTCTTCTCAACGAAATGACTCTTCCTTGCTCTGCCTATGGACTCCAGAGAAGCATGCAGCAGGATAATTAACTGCAGATAATAACTGTGATTTCATTCCAAAGCAGTGGCCTCACTGGCAGGCACGTTGCAATAGCCATGGGATCAGCTATTCAGCTGTAGCAAGAGCCAGGAATTACCCCAGCGTGAGCTGGGCCAGCAAAGCATTTTTTTAAATTATGCAGTGATACAATGTCAAAGAAAGGAGCAGGGAGAAGTTCGGCATGTTCTTGGTGATGTGAGCCCCAGCATGGATTAGTGCTGGTTTGTATAAATTCCCCTAGCACATCCTAGCACTTATTTGAAACAGCACAATCCTGTTCCTGCTCTGTCCGTTCCCCACTGCCAGCTGAGGGAAGAGCCCTGAGCAGCTCTCTGCAGCTGATCCCTGGACAACTCCTTGGAGCACGGCAGACTTGAAGCCAGTGAATATTGTGAAATGCTGCTTGGAATTGCTCATGGGTTGTGGATGTTTGAGCCAGGCCAGCCCAGAGCTGAGCTGACTCACGTAAGGATTCTCTGGAGGGTTTGAGCTTCGCTCAGAGCCAGCACACGCTGCTGACCCTGGGGGCTCTTACAGCCAGCAAACTGCAGCTTTGGCTTACTCAGCTTCACTGCGGTGTTACCACCCTGCTGCCTTTCTCACTTCTTTTTCTCCAGTCCACATTTTGTGCATTATGGACACAAAGGCAGAAAGGGATATGTAAAACCCCAGGGGTTTGCAAGCGTGTTAGGAATTGTTTGTTGTCACAGGCTGTCCTGGGGACCTTGGTAGCACCTTCTCTGTTTGGGCAGGGCTGGAAGGGCTTGTCCTTGTGTCTGAAGCCAGAGAGGGAGGGGTGAAAAGCTGTGCTCTGTCTGCAAGCTGCCAACTCATCCGCTCTGCTCAGTAAAATGTATCTGTCCGAAATGCAGTCTAAACTTGAGGAGATAAAGAAACCACACTTTCCTTCCTGGGGACTTGCTGTGTTTATTTTCCTGGCAAGTGGCATATGCAGGGTGATTTTTCAGTTCTTCCTGGGTGAGGTGTGCCTGTGGGATCCAGGCTGTCACACACTGCCAGGGCCTGCAGCGGGTGGCTCAGGCTGATTTATGGCTTTTCCATTATCTTCCTTTAGGGATGCAGCTGCCAAGCCTCCACAGGGCTGCTCAGCTGGGAAGGTCACAAACTTGGTGCCATCTTTCTCCATCAAGTCTTTGCTCACTGCAATAAGCTTTCACAAGTGAAGGGGCTTTTGTCCTTTTTGCCTGTCCTGGAAATACCTTCAGGGTTCCAGGCTATGGAGCTTTCCCCAGGCTGCTGGAGCAGCAGGATCTGCT